ACATTGCATTAAAGAGAACTTCACGCTTTATTCTAGACATTTAAATTACTCCTCGACTCCTATCAAACGTCTGGTCAACGACCTTTAAGTAGTATGGGCTTGAGCATAATTACCACATGTATCATGGTTTATCTTCTTGTGACAATTTGTTAGAGGATTGTTTTTCAAAGCTGCTAAAATGATCAATTGTCATATCGATATATAAATGGATTTTTGTAAAGACTAAATAATTATTCTATTATACAGTTGAAAATTTACAAAAAATGAAGAAACAATAGGTCTTGCATATGAACAAAGTCACATCTATGATATGGTAAAGAAGTTACCATGTTAGATGGTCGAATTAATCTAACGATATGACCAAATCAAGTAATACATAACTAATTAAATGACATTTTCTCCATACACCGCCCTCTCCGATTCGAGTTGTATAATGTTCTCGCGAATTAGCAAGTATACTATATATCTGTCAATATATTTAAACTTATGTACGTTTATTTCCCAGTGGTTGTGTTCTCGGCTAGACTGATTTAAATAGATGTAAGTATACGTTGACAATATATTTTGTCTTGATCGGATATACAGTTAAGTAAGAAATTAACAGGTTTCTTTTGAACCCATAGGTTGACACATGTAAACGATAACTTCAGGCTACAAGGAGAGTTTGTCTGAAAAATTTATAAGACTTCTTTCTGTGTTTAATTAGCAATACATGTACATGTATCAATTCGACCCATCTGCCTGGTAATGTGACATATTTAAGAACACTTTAATTAAAACTGTCATGAGTTGTTTATCTCTTACACAGCGGGGTTTGATAATGATAAAAAGTGTAGTATGTATGTCTATATAGGTTAATACGTTATAAATGTTTGAAATTAACGTCAGTTTACCACACGACGACATTTACAGTGTCTTAGATTTTGTAGTATGTTGACGTCAATTCATTGGGCGGCTTAATCGTTTGTTTAAAATTGGTTTTCTTTTTTCTAATTGTCAATATCAGACTTGGACTTCTCCGGGATTTCTCAAATGCGAGTAGTGAACTGGTACATACGAATAAACTGAAAAACAAAGTATACTCAAAAAATCTATAATCGAACAAATACTGTATTCAACTAAATCTAACCGTAACAAAACTGAAAAAAAGAGAAACAATACGATACGTCCACTATTCTATCCTTGTAAGTTGTAAGTGTTCTTGAGAAGTTGTTTTTTCTTAAACCTTTAAAGAAATGATGATATCTTTCAGTCATGAGCATACGATAAGCTGTGAAATTACAGTAGTTTGATCTTCGTGGTCAAGGTAGATCAAATTCAAGGTCAAGTTTAGTTCAGTCTTTTAAAAGATTTTTTTTTAAATTTTATTGTCACCAAGAGTGAAGTTAATTCATTAATAAATAACAACGTTATGACAGGTATTGCAAAACTATTGCAAAATTCAATAATTTGATATTCCAGGTCAAGGTAATTTACTAGTCAGAGTAAAAGGTAGTTTGATTTTCTTTAAACATTGTTGTGTCCAAGTATGAAGACAATCCATTGAGAAATACAATAAAATATGACCAACGTTAAATATCTGGTAAAAAAGTGATCCCTCGGAAGCATTAAAAACAGCAAACTTATATGAAAATTGCAGTGAGTCTGTACATGAAGGATAATGAATTTTTTTAAAGTTTTCAAAGTTTTCATTGTGTTTACAACATATTTCTAGTCAAAATAGATGATAAGAACAAAAAATTTCAAAATATCAAAGTTATATGTGTTCCTATAATCAAGCAGAAGTTAAAACCCTGACCTTTTATATCAAAGTCATTTTTGTGTTAAGGTTAAGTTTAACCTAGTCATCTTGAAAGTTTTGTCCAAAGGGCTGCTGTGCCCAAGTATGAAGGCAATCCATTGAGAAATAAAATAAAATAAGACAAACGTTATAGTTTTCAAATGTTTCATTGATGTTGACAACACACACGCACACGCACACGCGCACACGCACGCGCACGCGCACGCACACACACCAACGCACGAACACACACACATACACACACACACACACACACACACACAAATGAAAAAATGCAAATGAAATCTAATGCATTCTAGTGAAACTAGTAATGATTAACAAGCTTCTCTTTAACTGTATTTACAGGGTAATATACCAAACATTACAGGCACATTTTTTTCTGTCCAAATTTTGCACATTCAGATGTGCACTTACATATCGTATAAGTTATTTTTGCGGCAAACGTTCATTACAATACACATCTGTAATTCAAATAACTATATAACTGCAGTTACACCGAACGCTCGGACGATTCTTTGACTTAATCATTCAAAGTATAGAGGCTTGAAGGTTTGTGGTATGGAGCGTTCCATAAAATCTAGGTTAATGGTGCAACTTGTCAGAAGTAATTCTTCAACTTTGTACAAATATTGAGTAATAGATAAAATGTACGACAATTTAAAAGGTCTAAACAATGGAGCGACATAAACAAAACACGACACAAAAAAGAGACAATGCAGTCTAAATGTTCATGTTATAAGATAATAAAGCGAATATTACGCATTATATTATTTGCTATACAAAGACTTTACAGGTTATATGGTAAACAAAAAAGTACAGACTTGAAATAATATCTTACACAAACAATAAAAATACTGAAAACACTGGCACAGACGTCGACTCTGTTTCTACATGACACCAATATTTGATAAAAAGTCTCAATACGAGTACATGTGCATACGGTATAACGGAAGGTTGAAACGACGGACAGAAAACGAACCGACAACATTTACAAACTTTTAAAGTTTCAGCGGATAAATAACATTGACAAAGAATTTAAGAACTAAAACGAAACAAGAATGAACTTCTATTTATTTCAAACACATCTAAAACGGATTGACAGGCAACTCTAAAACTGTGGTAACAAGGTATTATATAAATAACATTACACTTGTTATAACCACATTATTTCAAATTTTACAACTCTTCCGTGTTCATCAGGTTGTTTCATTTTACTGCTTTTCGCGAGCTTGTTATAAACGTCTAACGAATTGGATTACTAGTAATACATTATGCAGGTGATCTTGTCAGGTTTTGATGAGCAATAGATGTGTCTTACTTAATCAATATACGAGGCAACATTTCTTGAAATAATTTAATTAAAACTTCCAGTAATTTTATTTAATGTCCTTGAGACGTATAGATTACATCTACATAGAATCTTGTTTAAAACAATGAACACCTTTACATCATAATACAACAATAGATTGATTATACAATAATGGATGACGCTGTTTGAAACACGAAATGATCCCCATGTATTGAAGTGTACTGTAATAAAATTACTTTTACAATTTTGTTTCCAGGGATGTGAAAATTAGCGAAAATTAACTATTATTCAAAGAATTTGTTACATTTTATTACAGAAACTTTACGCTAATTTCATTGATGTGCTTATAATATAACGCTAGCATTTAGCGGATGTTTCAACATTTTACCATTTCATGTTAAGCCTATGCTCATGAGGTGACGGTAACATGCACTTTCCGGTATCATCCATGAACAGGCTCAATCAAACCGAGTCCACAACATTTCCAATTGTGCTGTTTTGGACTCTCTTTAGGGATTTTATTTCTTTACATTTTATTTCACAAAATGTGGTATAGATGCAATATCCTGTGAGATGGCAAGTATGCTTTCTATTACTTTCTTTTTTTAGAATATATTATCTAATAACTTAAACAAATATATTTCCTCATACCTAATCATATGTATAATATCGATTTTGTGTTATCACGATCACGTGACATGTGCCATTTTACATTACGATATATTCTAAATAAGTCTGAAATACAATATGTGTTCTGCTCTGTACGCTTTGTTACGCAAATATTTTCATTTAAAAATATATATACCGTCGTGCAATATCGTTTTTACGGTATGGTAAAACGGCACGTGAATATGATAAAGTATATATTACGAAACTTTAATTATGTGCGTGTATTTACAGTTTAGAAGTCGTTTTCCTAAAATATATAAAAAAATATTTTTTTCAAATTCTGGACGCATGTTTAGAATAAAATCACTGAATTTAAATTGGTAAAAATACTGCCTCAATTCCGTTACCGGTAGCGTCGCAATTCTATTTGCCTGTGGTAAAAATGAGGCTCGTGGTGGCAAGCAGCAATTAGGTATAAATAGGTTAAAAACCCAAAATTGTCGTGGGATCTCATGCAGTGATATCATTAACACTTGGTCTATTTCATTTTAAAAGAAATATGCCAAGTGACATAGTTTGTAAGAAGCCAAGGATTTTAAATATTGACAATAAATATTTCTAAAACTTTGTAATAAGAAGATTTTGAAACGGTTGCATATTGAAACAATTAATATGGCTTTGATTGATGTTTGGATATTGTCTTTTTTTCAGAATGACTAAATTCATAAACAGACTGGATGTCTACTTTAAACCGTAGTGTTTCGTGTATCTATCACTTACTAGAAGATATATGTACATGAAGGACTAAACTGAAGAGCCTTATGTTTTTTGGTTGCCTGTATGTTATATAGTAATGGACTCTTTGTAACAATTGTATCAATTCTTTCAAACAAATATATTTTATAGATCAACAGTTTATCACAAGATGCTTTTTAGAGGTTGTATTGATTATCAACTCTTCAACAATTAACTTTTTGCTGAGTGTCTTTAAAGGACTTGACTTGCATCAATTTTTGGAACTATCCATTATCAATGTTGGGAGTATCAAAGTCATCAGCTATCAGTATAAAGTAAGGCCAGACTTCACGGATGTCCAGGCTGGCCTGGCTTTAAACTCCCGCTAAAGGCTACATACCTTGCTATTTACTGTTTGTACTCTAAGTTCCAGCAGGCTAAGGGTTGCTTCATTTGCTATTCGCAAACGTTTTTATGACACATAAAAACCTTTCTTTAATATATGTATATTATACAGATACTAGTAAATAAATTGTCACAATTAAATATTTTTCAAAAAAGTTTTTATTTTGGAGACTGAAATCTTCAATTGACATACATTTCCAACATGTGCACACTTTTTTTGCAATAAAATACTTCAAAAGAATCTTAAAACTAATTGACTTTCTCAGCTAATGAACTTCATCGTAATTGATTAGGTGATAAATTTGCATGTGAAAAAAAATCATGTTTTTAGCACGACGCCATGAAAATTTAATATCAGAGTAACACAGATTTTTGATGCGTTGAAATAAAAGAACATGTAAAGAGAGATAAAAATTGTTTAAATGCACATGTCATATTAGTAGAAAAGAAAAGTGTATCTAGGAACATAAGTGTAATTCTTTCTTTTTTATTTAATTTAATGTCAGAATTATTTCGATTAAGTGAAGCTTTACTCAGTTAATAGAACTAGGTATCTTATAAAAACAAAAATGTTTAAAATCATGTCCACTGTTACAATCATCAAAGAATTTAGGGATTGAAAAGGTGACTGCATTTAGGGGTTATCATGGTTACACAATAGTAAGTCATCTACGGGTTGTTGTCAGTGTCTACGTAACATCCGTTGAGGTCCACTCTCAAGCACGGGTAGTGGCTAGAGCTGTAACTCACGGGATGAAACCGTACAAACCGTGCTGTAATTGGATCCGGTAATTTAGATACGGCGTGTGACGAACTTGAAGTACCATTAAGTACCTGCAACATAAGATACAATACTTCAGTAAAAATTTCAGACTGAATAAGAGCTAAGTTATATAGACAAAAACAAATTAATAAACATGTCATATTGCAATTTCTTAAATTTCGATCGTGTTTTTATAGATATTTATCTATCTAAACAAAAAGCGGTATCAAATTTATGATCTATTTTCAATTTTAATCAAATAATTCATAAAACCATTCGACCGCATTTCAAACGGTTGTTTGTTAACTTATATACGTACAATCAAGATAAAAATAATAAGTTTAGGATAAAAGCAAATAGATTGGGCAACGAGTAAAAAAAACAACATTACATTATTCTGACAAGAGATAACTTACCAGTGAAGTACCATTGTTGCCTAGTACGTCATTAAATGTTGTACCATCTGTACTGTAAGTCATCTGATAGCTGCCCGTGTAATATGTGCTACTGTAACTTTGAGAGATGGCGCCAAATACACGTGCAAGTCTTCCTGCAAACACATTGAAGGAGTTTTCTAATTTTAGACATGATTAAACAGTTAAAAGAAGACTAAGTTATTTTTAAAAAGGTTTAAAAACAACAACACCAAAGTCAACATCAGCATCACCACCAATAACAATATTATCATCATCACTATCATCATCATCAACAAAAACTGTAACAACAACAACAACAACAACAACAGAAACAGAAATAACAAAAACACAGTCGCCAACAACAAAAATTAAAAACTAACGATTGCCTTTTACGCAAAATATATTAAAAGAGAATACGTACCAAGGTCTATTTGAAGCCACGAGTTTGCATTCGAACCACACCAACCTTTACCGCTCCCACCCGAGCTATCTAAGCGACCGTCGGCTGCAGTGTAGTTTTCCCGCGTGAGAAATGCAGACATCATTGCTTCTGGTATAACAGAGGCATTTTTGACACCAAGGCTGTTTGTTTTACAAGCTGAAAAATGCGTAATATTTTGATAAACAGCTAAAAAATGAAACCTTTCAAATGGGAAATTGAGACTAAAACATTAGTACTGCAAAATGATACTCGAAGAAAATCGATAAAGCTAAGAATATGTTTCAACTAAATCAATTATTGAAAAAAAAATCGATTGTGAAACAAGTTCTTGCAGCTGATATAGATCATTTTCAAGTCCGCTTCATAAACCGAATTAGTAAGTACTAAGGTCATGTGAGGAAACATGCAAATGCTTTGTTATTAATCTCTCGTGATTATATTCCTGCGCATTTGAACTCGAACAGTGCATTATTCTTCAACAATGCACTCAAAATTGATATTATAATTGTCCAAATACAGCATAAAACACGTACGTATTTCACAGTTTACACCGCTGTATTGTTCCGTGCAATTACAAACATATGGAGTTTCACCCATCGTATCAACACAAAAGCCGCCATGTTGACATGGACTTGATGGGATACACTGATTCCGCTCTGAAAGAATAGATAACATGTAAAGAGATTTGTACATTGTTGTCATGTCACCAACCTACATATACTTTCAGATCTCTTTAAATAGTTAAATAAAAGAAGATTACATGTCAAGAAGTATCAAAAACATACTCGGGCGAGGTAAAACTGCTTTACATGCATGTCTATAAGTATGTACATGTTTATCCGGGATCGTGGACGTTATTGGTAGTTTCGTCATTTTAGAATGTCATTTATATCTCGGGAAATGCTTAATATATTCTGGATATAAGATAGTCACCAGAGAATTGAAGAAAGTTTTAAAGCAGAATAAAGTTTGTTTCCGGTACTACTGTAGATTATTTTATAATTGGACGTGTATACGTTTCAGAAAGATTCTTTAGATTATTTTTATACTTGTTTAAGAATGGCCAAAAAAGATTCCCGGATTTCAGTTAGTAATTTCTAAATGACCAATGGAAATGCATCTAATATTCAGTTTTCGCTGTAGATTTTACAGGAAGTTAAACCGATGTCAGAAAAGACTTCGTCCGGAAAAATATCCATTTGAATCGGTTAGAATTATTGACCAATTACATGGAAACGGAAATAACATCACTTATGTACATCAATTCCAACAATTATCATTTGCCAACTCTTCTACACCTTTTGATGTTTAACAGAAATATTTTTTATCTGATTACCAATAATTTCCATTCTGAATACCGCATCAGCATATTTGTCGTTCGTGTTAGTTGCCCTTACGGTGAAACTGTAGATGGCGTTTACGTCAGGAACCTGACCTATAATTCTACTTCCGCTAGAATCAATTCGGAGCCCCGGCGGCATCGTGCCTGCAACAACCCGGTATTCCATTTTACCATTCTCGGGATCCTAGAATTTGTAAAAATAAGAGTTCGGATTATTTTTACCCTTTAACGCGTGTGATAATCTTGTGAATATATCTGAATCAGTTATTGGCTTAGCATAGAAGGTAAAAAAGCTATTTTCATAAAGGTATTTAGCTGTCTGTATTCAGTAAAACATTTACATGTACATAAAAAACATACCCAAGTGCATAAATTGAAACTATGTTTGTACATTTCCGATTTAGTGGGCGGCGCATGCGCAAAATATACTCCGTTGCAAAAAGAAAGTGTGAACTTGGTTACTTGTGAAAACTATAGCCAAGTTTGTTCTCAAAATTTGCAGAATTGTAACAAAATAAAATGGTCTACTTTGTTTTGAAATTTGATAAATGAAAGAATTTTGGCGAAAATGTGCTGTTTTTGATTTGTTTACAGTATATTACATGATATTACTATAGTTAAAGCTTTACAGACATAAAATATTTAACAAACTTTACCAGCGCTTCAAGTTTAACGTTCATTGTTTCCCCTCCAAATGCTGTATAGAAAAATCCTGTCGCCGAATGCTCTTTCCAAACAGGTGGCAGACCGTTTATCACCTGAAATATCAAATATATAAATACATGGATAACAAATTATGATACATTAGAATAAAAAAGGATGCAACATGAATATATATTTAAAAAAGTGGGCACAGAATAAACTCATTAATATCATGTTGGCGCTTGTAAACGAAGATGTCATCAAAGTATATGTGTACATCATCTGTCTATAAAGTCCTAACTATTTGATTTGGATTATTTTGTTTTAAACATTGATCTAGTTCAGATGTGATCCAATCCTGCCAGAGGCTTTGACATATTTCACGGGAGGGAGTTGTCCATTAGCTTACGCAATTTAGGTGTATCTATAATTCAATATCCTGCTTTTGGCCTGAAAACAATACATAGAGTGGTACCTAAGGTTTGTCTCCATCGGTAAAAATGTAAAGTCAAGATATGACCTTTATTGTGTCTATTAGTTTTGTAAGACTTTCGTTTAAATTCAGAAAAAAAATGTTACTTTAATCAGATGAAGTAAATCTTCTCCTTCGAAGTAAACGCTGCCACCGTTGGTACCTGGTACTATATACACACTGGCGTCGGCTCCAGACTACAACACAAATAAATAAATGTAAAAATGTTTAAAACCCCGCAAAAACAGGATCGTATTTCTAAAACAAAATTCAATGTAGCATCATGCCTATTAAATTGTTTCTGAAATCTCAGTTACTCGAGTAGAACAAATTGATAAAGCAAACACGTTGAAAAGTACAGGACATTGAAAAAATGTACATTTGAATTATTCATCAACAGATTTTTTTCTGAATTTATTGACAGGCAAAGTATGTTTTTTTTTGTTCCATAAAGTCTTTTGGATAATACTTTTAAATCATATCTCTGTGAAATTATTCCGGTCCTATGTATTATAATTGTTGTTTTATTTTATTTTACTTATCGCTTTAGCTCCCTTCAAAAGAGATAATTATGCAAAAACGAAATATGATCGTTATGAGCTCATATAGTGACAAATAATGTAGATTATATGCAACTTTTGTTGATTACTTGAAGTGTAACATTTCCATCCGTGTCCGCCTCAAGCGAGATATTCGGGTAATGAATTTGAAGAATTCTAGAACGAAAAGAAAACAACATAATTTTCATTTATATGCTTAATGAAAAATGAATAAAAAACACCAAGAACAAGAACACAAAAAAATCACTATCACAACAACAATACTTCAAACAACAACGACACGAAAACAACAACAACAACAACAACAATAATAACAACAGCAGCAACAGCTACAAAACAATGACAAGAACAGCAGCAACAACAACATAAAATAACTACGGAGACAAGCGCATTAAGGAGAAACATTTCATGCTGTGAATTATGATGAGATTGGCAGAATTGATGAATTTGCCATTAAAATAAGTTACATGTTCATGTTGTCATCCTTTTCCTACTTTTTTCACATTTTCTACAAAAAACAACAACAAAAAAACAGTAAAGTGATTGCTTTGGTGAATATAATTACTTGATAATGAAGGAAAATGAGATAATACGTGAATGAATCTCGTGCAATCAATCAACTACAAACTTAGATAAAAGATAATTGTATATAAAATTTAACTTTTTTATGTAATGTTTAAATATTTTACTTACCCACCATTATCACATGCAATGAACGAAAAAAGGAAGCAGAAAGAAAGCACCAAAAAATGTAAACGGTTATTGAATGCTGCCATTTTGTTTTAACGGGTAAATAACGGAAATATACGAAAACACCCGAATACCAGTTAACACCATTTTTGGCCAACAAGGTCGTTGTTATGGGTACAAATCATTTTAACCGATTTTTGTCAATATTATAGATACTTTATCATAAAATATCAGTCAGTTTCACACACCTGCTGACAAATTAGTGCAGAATATAGGACAGAATAGTTATGTTTATTTAAGGTAGTTAAACGCATACAAGGTGTATGAATGAATTTTGAACAGTACAAGATAATACATACATTGACGAATTTCGTTGTTTGTGTTTATTTTAATATATTATTATGTTATCGCTTTATCTGCTTATATAATTCTCGATATAATGGCACCAAACCCAGAAATATAATATCTCCATGAAAACCCATAGAATAAAATAAAATAAGCAAAGCTTATGAATGCATTGAGTATGCGCATTCGTAGTATTAATGCGACTAGCATATTTTTATTTATTTCATAAAATGATTTAATAAATAGTATAATAATAATAATAATTAAAATAATAATAAACATAATTATAATAATAATACTTATAATTATAATAATAATAATAATAATAATAATAATAATAATAATAATAATATAATAATAATAATTATAATAATAATAATAATAATAATAATAATAAGAAGAAGAAGAAGAAGAAAAGAAAGAAGAAGAAGAAGAAGAAGAAGAAGAGAATAATAATGATAATGATGATGATGATGATGATGATGATGATAATATATAATAATAAATAATAATAATAATAATAATAATAATAATAATAATAATAATAATGATAATAAATAATAATAATGAAATTAAAGACATATATTTTAAAATTACATCGAAATATCCGACAGAAGACAGTCAAAATGTAAGAACGATATTTTGAGATGACCCCCACCTGACTTATTTTCAGTCGGATTATCAGTGATCCCTTGCATCTTATTTGTGCGATTTTCTACAATTTAGCAACGCGACAATATGTCAAAAATTTGGGACAATGTAGCGTTAGTGCTTTGATAGAAGTAAATTTGAAAAAAAAATCTGTTCTTGTGGAGGAAAAATGGCGAAGTCGGTGATTCTTCTAGCCGCTCTAATATCGTCTGCTTTAGCCAGGTAGCGTAACACTAAATTTTTTAATCTATTTGTATGTATGTAAAACATTGTCGTAAAAACTATTACAATTTGATAAAAAGGTTCTACTTTCATTATCTATATATTTTGCAGTTTTCTGGAGGTAGATTACCCGAACGTGAATGTTTCAGCGGAAAGAAACGGTGATGCTATCTTTGAGGTAAGTTGAAATATCAACTTGTTGTGATGACACTAAGATAATGTGATAATTAATGAATATAAAATGGAAATCGTCTTAGAATATAGTGAAATAGTCAAATCATCATCCAATTAACGTTGAGTTTTAATTTCTCGTTTTTTTTCCTCGAAATTATTCATATTACAAATTTATGTACTCGTATGTCGGTAGTTTATCTTATCAATGAGATCAACAATTAACGTCGTCGTCGTTGATATCATCATCATTATCAACATCATCATCATAATCATCATTATAATCATCATCATTGTCATCATCATCATAATCATCATCGTCGTCATCGTCGTCGCCATCGTCTACCATCATCATCATCATCGTCATCATCATCGTCATCATAATCAGCATCAACATTATGATCATCATAAACAACAACAACAACAACAACAACAACAACAACAACAACAACAACAACAACAACAACAACAACAACAACAACAACAACAACAACAACAACAACAACAACAACAACAACAACAACAACAACAACTATCACCAACACATTTATTTCTTCACTGACGAGAACATAAATAACAGCAGAAATATCATTCGATTACAATGATAATTTTAGTGTGGACTCATATTCATTGATTTCTTTTTTAATGTCACACAGGCTGGTGCCGGCGGCAGTGTATTTCTTCAGCCGGGGGCTGGTGGAACAGTATATATAAATAAAACTGACCTTAAAAAGTTCATTGAGGTAATGTATTATGACATTTTAAAACTACATGTATAATTATATATTGGAGAACTATGTTTGGTGTATGTACAATTATTAGAATGAATAAGGTTTTTCTCATAGCCAGATGCAATATCAAGAGTAAAATGCAGAAATTCTTTCAACAATTACGTTTAATAATTCTCATCCTACTAGGGTGTAAACCTGTTCATATATTTAAGACTAAGTTTGATGTTATTTCAGAAAGTTAAAAGTTTACCTCCTATTTGGACAAAGCGATCACAACACGGTAGTCTAGGAACATTTCTGTCAGGCCAATATGTACAGGTCAGCGTTGAGGCCGTGGTAAGTAAACGAATGTACAATATACTTTATTATTTTAGTAATTTATATAATCTAATATAAATCTTAAGGCTTATCACTGGAGCTTTAAGGTACATTGTGAATGCAAGATGACTTTGAAAGATTATGGCAGAGATTGAAAAACAGAGCGCTAGCATTTTAGAAATAAAAAATAAATCTTGATTTTTTTATTATTTTTAAAAAAAATTTATACGACCAACTTTTGCATTACATTAAAAGTTCAGGGTCTTTATTACAAAGACTTCGAAAAGGCCAGTTTGTGATAATTATAAGGTAATAAGGTATGCTGAAAAATAATGGGACTGTGACAATGTCATTGCTTTAACAGCTATGACGGACTACTTTATTTTTATGATACTAGCCGGATGCAGCTTTTCAAAACATATTTTCGAATCATTCAACACTCTTCCTCATATATGATAACTCATCAGATTTTTTGTCAGATTTTTATGTCAGTATCATTGCTATCTTCACAAATATGTAAAAAGTCTTGTTACTAGTGTTTAACATTATCATTCATACCGATTTATGAACACTCGCTCATGTTTTCTTCATTTTTATAGGATCCTGACGGAAGTAGTATTATTTACAGCTTAATTTCCGGTCATCTTCCTCCCGGCACTGTTCTCAATATGACTACTGGGGAAATCAGCGGCCGGGCACCAGACATCGATGCAGAGTACTCGTTTGGTATCCGGGCAACTGATATCCACGGCAAATATGCAGATGGAGTTTTTAGTATTGATATAAGAGGTAAAGTACAATCTGTATAACAATAGAAGTTTATTATTAATTGTTGAATTTTTAAGGAAAGAATAATGATCAATCAATAAACATTACCACGGCTTAATCTTTTATTAGGTTAAGCATTTCGGTTGATGTTAATTCAGATACTAGTGACAAATTTCCCCTCAACGCCAATATGACAAAATCAATATTTTAGAATAAAACTGTCATGAAAAGTAAGTAAATAATCATTGCAATATAAAGAACGCCAATATTATTCCTATATTCGGATACGATTTTGCCCAACATCCATTTTTTGTCTTAGGACGTTTGTCACAGTTTTCATAAAGACAGAGTGAAAATTGTTTCATATACTTTATTTAAACTTAAAAAAGGGCAGCAAATACACTCACTGACTGTTTTATTTATTTAGAAAAAGATCAGTGTTTGAGTAACCCATGCATGAACGGAGGTACTTGCACAGATGATCTCGGCCAGTTTAACTGCTCTTGTCCCTTACGTTACGGTGGAAATAAATGTCAGACAGGTAACACTACGATGATATTTCTGTTAAAAAAGTAAAACAACATTCAGTTATGCGAACATACTTTTTACAATGATGTATGAATAACTTAGTACACAGGTTATGGTTTAAGGTCAAAGAACGCCAATTATAAGTATATGATGTAAAGATAAGATTAAAATACATTTTGTACAGGAAGTTGCAATGCAGAATTCGGATTATACATGCATATTACATACAATGTCATTTAGAATATATTAATCTATAGAGTTGTTCCACATAGATTTATATATTATGAATTATGTTACCCTTTTAAGGGCATATTTAATACACACTTATATACATATATCATTTTCATGTAAAATATTTGTATAAGTATGGTTGCTGATATCAACCGATTTATCACTGTTGTTCATCTCTTGGAGTCTTCGATATATCATCTCATTAAGGCAAAGGGACGACTAATAAAAGGCTTAAGTTCGACATTTTTAATATGTCTGTGTTTTGACATACATATGACTTCACGTTTCGTGCTTTCGGGACATAACGTCTAAAACACAAAAGTACGCCACATTCACTGTTTATTTTTATATTAATTCGATCTTTGTCTTTTCGACATGAAGACATTTTCATATATTAAGAAGACATAAATCTGCCACCGTAGTAACAGAGTTATAATATACTGCATTCTTACCATTATCTTTATACCAGTTTGTGACGTGAACGCTTTGGGAGTATCCAACAGTCTAAAAACGATACCGGACGCCCAGATTTCTGGTCATCTAACATTTGGGTCAAATAATCCATGGGACGGAAGACTTGGATCGTCAACTGGCTGGGTTGGCAACGATAGCAACTCTTGGCTCCAGGTAACTATATCAGTTACGTGCTGTGCAAGCTAATGTACAATTTAAGATAAAACCCAACATGATTTGTATATCATTTCTTTTTCTCGCCTCTCTCTCTTAATCAAGTGATTATATCTTTATTGATAAAATGCACTATTTACTATCAAGAAGTTTATTTTCAACAAAATGTGAACATGTAGAAATATAACTTAAGTGTCAATGCATATGTCATTTTTTTCGTCTATCGTACAAGTAATATTTCAGCCCCACCGGATGAAAGCTTTGGCTTTGTCTTTACGGTAGTATAAGATAGCGTGTGAGGAAATTAACATTTTGTTAGGATGTAGTTTCGGTGTAGGCGCATTCCTTAGAAATTTAGGCGACGGGTGCATATGATTTGCGCATAATAATCTTACACAAACATAATTTAACTTATTGATCGATCTATTTTCAGATTTTCCTTTTATTTTTTATCTGGTCTCTGAGCATAAAACATGTAGAGTTATCTCCTAGAAAAGCAAGTTACGATGGTAATTTTTCGATTTCCTAAGCTGGTCAAGAAGTTATTTACATACCACATGTATTTTCAGGTGGATTTAGGGGAATCACGAGAAGTGTATGCAGTGGCAACACAGGGATATCATTCCACCAGCTATTACATTTCATCGTTCACCGTCACGTACAGTGTGGATGGGAATACATTTGTGTACGCGACTGCCAACGGTTCTACAGTAAGATTTTGAAATATTAAAGTGGCCCTCAGCTTTTCTAGAGGCTCAATAGGATATATTTAGATAAAGCGTTTCATATAATTGTCAAATCCAAAGAATTAAGGTGGAAATTTCAAAAACCTGTAATACACCTGTCCGCATTCTATATTAAAAAGAGACAATGCTTTTTCACGCTCTTTCTGATTTTAGAAACGAACGTCACTGGCGCGTTATAAATGACTCTCTTGAGCTGTTTTGAAGAAGGCTTAACAGTGATTATTATGATGCACCTTTTCAAGATAAAATTACTGAAATACTTAGTTTTAAACAACACCGAATTGTTTTTTTCCAACAGAAAATAAAAGCTGAGGGCCGCTTTAATTACCGTTCATTTATATTGTGATGGTGTGGGGGATAATTTAAGTATATATTACAACTTTGTTATAAGTTTATTAAGATATCGTAATGTATAGAGTTTGTCTGACTTTCGCCTGACTTGTAGTGCAAATAATTTCCATACAGGTTATGAACGCAATTAATACTGTTATTAAAGCTATAATACATCACGTACGTCCCATTATATATCCTATAATACATGTATAAAACTTCAATTATTTCATTGAATGACTATATTTGTATGTAGAGCATGTTTTAACAAGATTTTACAGATAACTTTTGAGGTCACTCGTATCGTTAAAAGACTCTCCGGGGACACATTCGGTACTTATTTCGTCAATTACAGGCCGGGAATATCTTGAGTTCTAACTAAAGTGTTGTTAAGATTTGGTCTTCCTGTTATTTTACAGAAAATCACGCTAATCACAGGAAATTTATCACCAAACGCAGTTTTTCATTGAATTCTGGCAAATTTTTGAAACGCGGGTTTTACAACATTGTTAATTTAACAATGCAATTAAATTTGGTTTCCAATATGAAAACTGCTCGGCAATAAGTAAATAATATAAATAAATATACATATACATTATTACAGTTGGGGCTTATTCATTTAGAATGTGCATTATTTTTTATTTGTGGATACAATTTCAAACCTCTATGGACTAAACAAACATGTGACTTATAAAAACTATGTTAATGGTAATTGGAATACCAAAAACTTATTATTTGTAACAAGATCAAAACTGTTATAACTAAAATTCATTAACGGTGATTACATTACATTGTCAGTCACGATTTAATATTGCTTAAATCTTTTTTTATATTTCAGAATCTTAAGGGCAGCTCTAACTACGATATGATTCAAAAGGAAATGTTTGACAAGCCGATCAAGGCCCGTTTCCTTAGGTTCAATCCTGTGACATGGCACACTGGAGGACATCCGGGTCTTAGAGTAGAAGTGTACGGCTGTTAGGACACGTGACTCACTAGCGGACATCATAGGGAGGAATGCTTTAAGACAAACTGCTCTCTAAAAATAAACTGAAAATTTATGTACAACACATTTACATACAGAAGTTCTTTTTGTACTATCTTTCGATTTGTATTTGTAAATGAACTATCCTGGATTTATCATTAATAAAAGTATGAGTTCACTGTATAACTGATTAAATATTTTATAATGTATTGTAGCATTCTTCATGCATTGATAGAATTACAAAACAAATAAATTTCATCAAATCTACCATTTCTCACATTTGATTGTACGATACATTAAACAAAAGAACATGAAGAACTACATTCACAAGATAAAATAAAATTGTTCTATTCTGCCCACGTGAAAAAACGAATAATTGATGAAGAAACATCTGAAAAATCTGCACTCAACAATGACACAAATGGATGTATCACTGACAGACTAAATATGTTTATCCCACCATCAGTTTCGCCAACAAGTGAATACTTTTAAGAAGAAGAAAAAAAGTGTCACCATTTTCCCAAATATTCATTGAAAAAATATTGTCCTAACCCAGACTATTAAAGACATATAAATCGTTCGTTTGTGATGACAACGATAACAACATAGTCGTTATTTTATCCTAGGAGACCATAACGACATTCTAAAATATTTCCCTTCGGGCAATAAAACAACCCTTCCCATTGATTACCAAACTTACATCCAATAAATCGCACGAATTCTGTGATTATCTGCGATTATTATCCATCATTGGGGTAGTCGTAAATTTTAAATTTCATCTCTATCTTGACATTGAATTTGGTGCATAAAGATATAGAGAAAATTAAAACATTTCATCAACTTTAGTTTAGATTTGGTATAGAAAATGTTGCTATATTCTGACAACAAACTGGATAGCAGCTAATCATGGTAAGATTAAAATGGTCATTTCTTATTGATTAAAAGTTAGAATTTTGTAATATAATACTTATATCAGTTCCAAATCTACGAGCGAGGACTGGAATTATAACATTGATATTTGGTTCAAACAAAATGGCTTCCAGTAATACACGCGAAGGGAAATTTCTTTGTATCGCATTTTTTTCTTACTGAACATACTTATTTGAATGTCAATTACTTTGTTCTGATCCGATACAGCACTTTTTTATATTGATATTAATTTGAAGAGGCGAAGTCTGCGCGAAGTTTATCATAGAAAACGCATTTCAAAAACGTGCGAACATTTAAAAACGCAGTAACTCTTCACCAGCCTACTTACCGTTCTTGTCGGGCGTATCACGAGAAATGATAAGAAAGAAGAAGAAGAAGAAGAAGAATAAAAACGACATAAAAACCATCAGTCTATATTTAATACAACTGAAATCACACTCAAACTTGAAATGCTATTAGTGGTAATAGCTGCAAAAGAAAGGAATTTCCTGAGAAGTCGTTTTAAGTACCAAAATTTTTTTTGCACTTGTACACACTTACCTTTTTGTGCACTTTTGCACTCTTAGCTTTTATTCACGAAACAAATGCGATTGAATTTTACTTTGTATAAACATTTTATGTGATGTAAGTTTGGCTGTATTGTAACACTTGTATTAATAATTTTCTATGCTATACTTTTATTTTGTAATATAAGAGCTTACATTTCAAAAATTTAATGACATTTTAGCAGGTTTTTATCGACAAAATCACACATTGCCGTATATCTATCTATAAAAGGACTGACATTAAGACCTTAATTAGAAATTAAGACTAGATTTGCAATTTTAAATTAAAATTTCCATCTGGCTCACACAAATCCGAACTAAAGGAAAGGTCGGTTTGACCAAAAGAAAATACAGTTTGTCGGAAGAGGCGTTAAACTCTTGATAGAAAAGTTTTATTTCTAAATGGTATAATGATCGTTCATTCAACATTGACGGGTAAATTTACAGTCTGCTGACAATCTAGAAAAAAATGGATATTGAAGGTAATAAAAATGTCTCGTGATTTTATCTTTTCTTCCCCACAATGAGACGTATCCCACGAAAATTTCGGCATTTGTTATAAAAGAGTTTAATGTTGGCACTAAATTAAAGCTGTTTGGAATAAATTTCACTGTTAACATTAACTGACAATGGTCGTAAAGATTAGATTCATCGACAAAAGCTCTTTTTCAAATTTATTACTTTATATTACAGCATTAAAATACGGCATCACATTTTTTTTTGTTTTTAGAAACTTTGTAAAAACATTCTTGCGTGCGATGTCAAAGGGAGTCATTTAATAAATAGCATTTAACAGTTTTTTATTTATTTTATTTTGACACGGTCTTATTAAGCGCCCGTTAACTTCGAGAAATCACGATCAGTTTATGCCTTGCCGGTACTTACCATCGACAAATGTCAACAATTCTCACATTTGATATATTCTTTTGTGTTAATAAAATGGGGAAACGAAAGGTCTTGGACGTCCCAAATATAAAGGAAGTTTGATATTTCATCGGTACATCTTCCTTTGAAGTGCGTGTATTTGAAAACAGATCATAATATAATTTCATTTGAATATGTTTGCATTGCGAAATTTTCCTGTTCGCTATTCATTATACATATTGCGACATATCATTTTTCCTCATACCAATCGGAATGATCGGCTATTATGACAGACGAAAACGCCCGAGAAGTTGCAATTGCCCTTTCACAAAATCTGATTCCATTCCATAAGGGGCGTTGCGCTTCCAATATAGGGAGCAAGCACTAATTATTTCAGCAGATTTCTGGGGAATAGATGAAACACGGCAACAAGATATTAATTCGCTTATCTTTATGAGAGACGAAACATAGTTTAAAGATCCTGTAACACAATTTTTTTATGGTTTTATATAAAAAAAATATGATGCTCAAATGAAGATTTATCAATATTGTAAGTCCCAAAAAGCATTATTTGTAAAATATTACCGAATTTACATTTCATGTTAATAGAGGGAGGTAATAAGAAATTTATTTTCTATAAAGTCTAAGTCAAATTTTCAATAAGAAATGAATGCATGTATTTTAATAATTACATAAAATGTGCACAAATATTTGCAGTAAATATTTTACATATTCTTCGATTATTGAAAATTGTTTGACAAACAATATTTTAATCATATATAAAATTTCTTTTAAGTGTGGTCAAAACTCTAATTACAACATACAGGATCTTTAAATTATAGAATAAAAGATAATTAATTAATAAATAAATTAATAAATAAATAAATAAATAAATTAAAAAATGAAAACTTGTTTGTAGAGCCACCGACGAACCATAAGCAGCTGGATAAGGATAGCTTCCTCTCATGAAAGAATCCAAAGTCCCTGACCGCATTCAAACCCACAGTGGTGAGTGGCAAGTGGTTCGAATTCAACAATCTTAATCACTCGACAAAGAACAAAGAAAGACCTATATAATTTTTCATGTTTGAGTGTTATAAGATATCTCGTTGTTGCAATGTTTTACCTGTAATGTTATAGTATATATACCATATTATTTTCATTTTTCAGTACGGACATTTTAATTTAGTGTTTCGAAGTTTTATCATAGAACGCCAAGGTGGAGAGCAGGTGTGGGAGAAAATTGTGTAAGATTTTTAATGTTTTAAATGAGCTGCGTCATGACAAAACCAACATAGTGCGTTTGCGACCATCATGGATTCAGACCAGCCTGCGTATCAACGCAGTCTGATCAGGATCCATGCTGTTCGCTATTAGTTTCTCTACTTGTTATAGAGTTTGTAATCGAACAGCATGGATCCTGATCAGGTAGAATGTAAGACGAAAACGCGTCAGTTTATGCCTTTTTTCCGCCATTTCATTTTTGTAGTATTCTAAAGAATAAAACAGAAAAATTTATTTTAGTTTTAAGCATTATACTTTATCATCATCAACTATGAAGTGTTAACATATACATGTACAATAATTACAAATGAATAAATAGCATGCAAAAATCGTGGACTGAATTATATACATTATTTCGTTTACATATAAATGAATTTAATTTGTTGTACATGAGAGATTGAAAATTTGTAGAATTACATTTAAATCTATATATTCGTGTGAGAATCTCTAAATTTAAAAGCCTTCAGAACTAGTGAAACATGTATATTGTCAAAATTGGAATGTACGGTTTTTATTGATATAATAACTGCAAATGTGCTTGATTCTTAGCCCCCACCACCCAACCACCCCCACCTCCCCCCCCCCCCCAAAAGATGCACCTGATAGCATTTAAGCGCTCTTTGAATTTGAAATAGTAAAAAGGAAATAAGGTCCAATTAACTAGAATGCTGATACTTTAGCTTAAATCATATAGACAGGCTCTCAAAAGCTCACTTACGATTAATTATATAAGATAAACTTAATTCATTGAAGCTAGAACTCTCTTTGACCTTTGTTTTATATTTTGTAATTTATTTTGTAGCGCACAGTCAAAATGTGAACCTGATTTCGATAATAACTACGTATATGATGAAGACATTACGGACAGGATGATCACCCGCTCCATAGATATATTAGGTACCAATAAAATAACACTGATAATTGATTTGAAATAGAAACTGGGTTAGGTTGTTAGGTTAAAATCTCTAAACTTTTTATATATTTTTTTTATTTTACTTTATTACTTTTTGAAACTTTTTTACTTCGAATAATCACACACACGTCTGCAGATATGACGCTAAGGCCAAATTCTTCAATTAACGGCATTACATAAAATGCATTTACGCTATTTTTTCCCATCTGTTGAGACACATCATAAAATGTTTACACTTACTTTGCAGTTGGTTAGAGCGTATGCTAAATTATAAGTTATCAAACCAAATTGCCATTGTAAAAAAGATGACCGTTTTAGAAAAACGGCAGTACATGGCGTCTTATTCGTGTATACTTAAATGTCTTAAACACCGATGTTTACATTGACATCATTATATAGAGATGGTTCCTTTATAAAAATCAGGTAACATTTTTTTCACACTTTCATAGGTTTACCTAGGGAACCATTGCTTGAGATGCTTGGGGAGTATTATCTAATTTATATGCAAAAGCGAGGCTATGACGAAATGCTGCGGAATTTGGGATCAAACATACTCGAGTTTCTACAGAACCTCGATTCCGTGCATGGCCTCTCCAGGCGTGACTATCCGGATATGGTGGCGCCCTCTTTCCGGTGCGACGAGGGGTCTGTGTCCGATAGAATGGTCCTACATTATTATTCAGCCAGAAAGGGTCTATATCCTGTTGTAAAAGGTTAGTGAAGTAAAGCTTATATTATTAGGTATAAAGATTTTGGCTGGTTGTATTACAGTAAACAACCGTTATTACACGCCCATGTAAACAAAAACCCACAAATATCTATTACTGATAGACTATTACTCATTTATTCAAAATCGTTAGAATTTTGGCAACAGAACTCTACTGGTAACGCATAGAAAAGTGAATTTTCATGATTTCACATGTTTGATTAATTTGTTGCGTTTGAATGTGACAAAACTTTTCTTGTTTGTTTCTGTCTAAGGTCTCACAGTGGAAGCTGCAAAGGCATTTTACAAGATGCAGCTACAAATGGACGTGCAGAAAATAGAAACTGAGTGCGTTGCTGACGAAAGAGGCGAACGTGAACACGTTACTTTTGATATTATCGCAAAGAAAATTAAAGAACAAGTAGTTCAAGAAGGTCCACCAACTTTTATTGCTCAAACAAAAAAGCACAGTGAAAGACAAATTTTACAGGAGGTAAGTCTTACCATGAAAATTATAGAAGATACATATAATTTCTAATTATTCTTTTTTTCTAAAAAAAAATGTGGAGAATCAAATATAAGCTACATTGCCATTCGTTTCGTTGCAGGATGTGGAGGCAGTCAAATTAAAACTTGAACAGATTCGGAAAGAGTTAGGTGAAGGAGCACTTCCTTTGAACAGGAAAAAGACGGTGAAAGCAAGATGGCGGATTGCCGTCAAAATTACCGCAATGCACAAAGGTTTCGTTCCAAATTACCCGCCTTCTCTTCCTATAAATCCCCGGATGTTCATTGAGATATTCCCTTACCACGTGACTCTTGATAAAGATTTGAAAATTGTCCAATCAGGATTGAAGTTGCAAATTCTTATGCCTAACATCCGGAGCAGGCAAGCTTTGTTGACAGACTTTTTTACCATCCGGTATCCAAATTGTGTTGACCTGACCTATAAAAACATTGAAAGGTTCGTTCTTTGTCCGTTCATACTAGAACTTCGAAAGGATGCTATGGAAGAAAATTGGTCCGATAGACCTGCTCTTCAAATAAAAGGTAAATATAATATGAGTGTACTTAAGAGTTGATATATATATATTGATGGTCTGTTCTATAAAAAGGAAACATATAGCACTTTTTACCTAAAGTGACATGTTTTGGAGTTATTTAAATTTTAATGTTCCAAAACTATAAGTATGGATATGCAAGTATCAATGTTGTTCAATATATACTTACTGATTTTACATAGAATAGTTGCTTACCTGTGTAAGAATTTTAACAAATATATTAATAAGATCTACATTGAAATATTTCTACAGGATATTTTTCATTAAATTTCAATACAGGTCAGATGTTTTTGCTCCGTGACAACGGTTTCTATGTTTTTATTGCCTCTCCTGTTGCCCACAGTTGGGCAGATCTTGAAAACCGGAAGTTGAAATTTGCTGATATTCCAATGTGGGACGTGACGCGAGATTTTCTGGTTGCTGACCTCGAATACCGGTGAGTTCACAATAAGTATATTTTTTATTAATTTCAAATAAAGTTTCTTCATACTAAATATAAGTTTCTATATTGATAAGATTATTATTACCACGTAGAACAAAAATCACTTTATCAAAGTTATATATATTTCCTTGTCTGTGTGTGCACGAACTGAAAAAAGTAATTGTTCAAAGATTTTTGTGAATCAGAAAATGTTTGGAGAATAATGTTCGGACAAGTTTGGGCGGTTCAACGAATAATCGAGCAAGAAGAATCTCAAACCAGTCTGTTGGGCGAGGAAGTATGGCTGATGATGCGGCCGTGAAAGAAAGATTAAACCGGATGCAGAAAGAGCTTGACAATGAACGCCAGCGGAGTAATACCCTGTATCTCGCGTTCCTGCCGAAAGATGTGGTTGACCTTGTACATAGAGGTCATATACCCTGCGGAGGTATGACAATAGTTTATGTATAATCTTCTTAATGTCATGTTGTATAAGCATTTGTCATTCAGTATACATGTATATTAAGGAGTATCAAGAATAACTAAGCAGATTTTATGTGCCGAAAAAATATTTTCTGTTATTATACTTTTTATAAAACTAGGAAATAATGTATGTTGATTAATGTCCTAGGTTAAAAACAATTTCCTTGTATTTACTTTAATAAAATTTATAAGAGACCCGTGTCGATTATAGAAGTAATCGGAAATTATGAATAAATAATATATTCATGATTTTACAATATTATGCAGTTGGTTAAAAAACATTTGTATATTTTATTTCACTTCTCGTTTACTATTCAAATTGATGATATTCATTAAACTATTCATTTCATTTTAATTTTTTTCTTGTATTAATGGCTTAAACAAAGGTAGAAGCCTAAAAATAATGTTAACTTACAAATTCGAATGTGATTATTTACATGTTTTTATAAAGCCATTAAACGGATTTATTTCAATACACGGCCTTAATAACATTTAATGACTAGAAGTATTAAAATAAAGTTGTTTTTATTATTTTTAGAATTTTACAACCAAGCGTCAGCGTTGTTTTGTGACGTTGTGCACTTTCTCCCTATGGTTGCCAAGTGCAGCCCCGCCGAGATCGTAGGAATTCTTAACTCTCTGCAGGCGAAATTTGATAAAGTGACAAGAGTCCACAATTCATTTAAGGTACATACACTTTTATAGATAGACAACAATAGTGTATTCTAGTTGTTAAATTGCTTTTATTATTGACCGAAATCGTAAAGCCTACAGGTTTAATACAAGATCCGGTGATTAAACTGATAAGATGTTCGTTTTAGTCATGCTTACCTTTCTTTATAAAGAAGCTATGTTCCGCTAAAAAACATAGATTTCAAAGGCCAGACAGGCACTAGTCTATGATTAAGTCGTGTGTATTATCTTATAAGTATTTTTCATTTGCCAACACTTTAAACTTTGGAAATACCGTTTGTGTTCAAATTACCTAATAAATGAAAACTAACATTTCATATTTAATATATACAATGGTTTAGCTTAACAAACTGGGCAGATGTATAAAGTATGGACCTTCACATTCACCATAAATGTACTGGTTTTTTCTTTCTCATAGCACTATCTTATAACATATTCATATTTTGAAATAACTTTAAATAAACCGATTTAGAGTGTAGATCTGCGTTTTGTCGTTTTATTTATTTTTCGGAATATATTGGCAATATAAAATGAAATAAAAAAAATTATAGATAAAATAATGTTAATTTTGTATTTTTAAATTTTATTATAGAATTTTGTTTTAGAAAATGTAAAAATAATTAACTGAATCCCAAGAAAGGCTCGTTTTTACGATTTTGATTTATTTAATTTATTTAAAGTTTGTGGACAAATTAAAATTACTTTTGGTAAAATGTATGAATCACTGAATTGAATGTGGTTACATGTGCAATCGCGATGATCACGTGTGAAGTCCTCAATAAACAGCTTGGTAGTTTTTTTGTCTAAAAGCTTATATTTAGTATCCGAGTATATTTTAAGTACAAGCAATTCAATTTGAATGAAACACGTCCAAACTATACTTAATAAAAGATGAGGGATGTTGGCAACTTACGGAGTGTTAAACAAACAATTTATTTTAATCAATTAATGCTTATGACATAATAACAGCATATTTACAAGATAATGAACAGTTCATATGTTAATACTCGTATACAAAACATTATTACAATATAATTATAACTTTACAAGGTCATAATAACAACTTATTCGCAAGAACATAGACAGAAAATGAAATGAAATGAAAATATTAATTTATTTGTCTGTTTCAATCACCTACTTCATATCTGTTAAAATGATTGTATGATTTACATGTCCTGCTCTGATAATGTTAGACAACTTAGTAATGACACACTTGTAAAGTTTGCAAACATATGATAGTTCTATTCTTAACACAACGGTCAATATCAATTATATACTGTTTTTTAAAGAAAGAAAAGAATATAGTTGCCAAATTTTATATTGTCAAAGAAAATGTTCCAAAAACACAATACAAAATATATAAAAATATTGTCATTTTGTCATGTTAAGGTTGAATCGATTGGTGACGCATATTTGGTCATTGCTGGTGTTGGTGAGAAGAAAGAATCACATGCTGAACGAATCGCTAACACGGCACTAGGCATGGTTGTCACTGCACGAGAAATACGTTCACCGCTAGATGGCGACCCAATACAAGTATGTACGCTGTTTGATAATTTGTTTACCATTTAGAGTGTTTTGGAAATGCAAACAACAACGTTATAAATACATGCAGCTGTTTCGAAAAAGGTTTAATAGTGATATAATGCACTTTTCCAAGATAATTTACTGAAATACTTAGTTTGAAACAACACGGAATTAATTTCCTCAACAGATAATAAAATAAAAACCACTTTAACTGAATGTTTTAGACATATCATCACTTATGAAAGAAGTCATAGTTCCTTGTATTTCTTCACTTTTCGCAATAAAATGGCTTGACTCGCCGACTTATTCTCATTGTTGAAAATATTTGTATACTATAGATTACATATTTTCCCTCACAGTTACGCATAGGAGTTCATACGGGATCACTTGTGACCGGGATTATAGGTCATAAAGTGCCACGGTTTGTTGTTATGGGAGAAACATCGGTTGTCGCCTCCAAGTTAGAGAGTCACGGGGAGCCAGGCAAAATTCACGTTAGTCCGACAACGTACAGGTACGGCTATAGTTCTTTATTGTCTCATTTAAATGATCTTGCCTCAATTTAAGAACAAACATCAACAGCAACAACAACAACAACAACAACAAACAACAGCAGCGACATATTTTTAAAAATTTAAACTATATTTCTCAAAGATGGTATATTATATCGCTGAGCATTTTTAAAAACTTTTTCATTCAATCATTTAGAATCGTTATTAATCTATAAATGAAGTTTACATTTCTTTAAAAAAAATTAAATATTTTCTATGAAAAAGATGATTGGAGCATAGAATTTTTCTGAGTTCAACAACTGTTCAAAATAAACGCATCCAGTGCTTCAGTTACTACGTTACATGTATATTGTTTAACCACAATCTTGGCAAAATAGAATGATATTATAGAATAAAGCAATCAAATTTTGATAATGATTCAAGTCCAATATATCAGCAGATGTACTGATATTACGCCTGCTTATTCGTCTATTCGATGCCTTTTATAAAGTCAGAACACTTACTTTTATTTTGCAAAGGTTATTTGCATTAAAACATTAAAACCCTTCTATATTTCTGTTATATATACCAAATTCTATGTTGAATTATTCATATGTAAATCATAGCTTTATTGGCGCTCGTTTCATAACAGCTATTGATGATTAAAATATTAATAATATAGTTATATTATCATTTTATGAACCGCAACATCTAGAATTTTGTCTCGTTTTCGCATACAAACATAACTTGTATGCTTATTGCAGAATGCTGCAATGCTAGTGATATGCTCATTTTACACCATTTGAATTTTAAGAAAAATCGTCATATTATATTTTATTCGCTAAACCACTTACTTTAGTGGTGATAATAATATCTATATTACAAATGGAATTGTGGGCAAATTTATAGGATAACGTAGTTATATTTTAAGGCAGTTCCGATGCTGCCGCCATTCAGTACATCGCAATATATTGCAAATGATTATACCATGCGAAAGTATAGTTTTTATAACGTTAGCTAGACATATCTATAAGGTTGCTGGCAAAAATTTGTCAATAAAATACAGTCTACGTCAATTTTATGTTTATTGAAAGATGTTCCGTCTCTTAGCACTTTTAATCAGATCATTGCGAAACATTGCTCACCAGACATGACGTCATTGATGTTAGCGTTCGTTTATCACGTGATAATCAGTTTAAAAGTTTACGATCTAGCTATTTCATTACAAGTTAAAGGAGAACATGACAAAAGTTCCCTTAGGATAAGACATGATTATATACGGATAAGACATGATTATATACGGCAAAATACGTGAGATAACATTGCTGTCATGCGTATTTATTTTCATGCGTAGTTGCAGGAAGTAATTGAATGTATTGTGAATACTTTTTGAGACAGTAATCATTATTTTATTGCATCAGTTGATAATAAGCGTTATTTTCATTAAGCTTTGACTGCAAAACCTTACTCATTTTTAAAGCTCTTAGCTGCTTTGCATTTTCCTCTAAGCCTTTAGTTTTGCTCATTTTGCAATACCAGTTTTACTCGCAAAGCGCTATTATTCCTCTAGAGCTAAGCTTTGCATTATGAGTATCAGTTATATTTCTATTAGCCTATCTTACTGGACAACATTAAATTGTTCTCTTAGCTCTGCTCACAGAGCTCAATGTTTTCTTTCTCTAAGCTTTGCACTGAAACATCTTATTCTTTTATGAGGTTTGTTTACTTATCACAAATCATTCTTTTCTTAACTTAATTTGTTTGACAAAACTCATGTTCATCTTCTTTTAAGCTTCGCTAACTTAGCACTAATCTATCTTCTTTAAGTTTTTCTCGTTTGGCAAAAGTCTTTTTTAAAATTTTGTTAAGTGAACGCTACTCATATTTCTTGTTTTCAAATTGGCTTTTTTATATTTCTTTAAACTTTGCATACTGAGCACGTCTTATTTTTACCCCTGGACAAAACTTATCGCTAAGTTAGCATTATGTATTCTTCTTTTGGCCTTCTGATCGGACAGGGCGTCGCTGGGCAAGTGGCACTTCCTATTCTCTTTGCTATACTGTTTCTTCAACATCTGTTTACTTACCACGTCTCACTGTGTTTGTCCAATTACCCTATTTTAAAGAGGTCAAAGTTAGCTATTACAAATGTAAAAACACACAAACATATTTCAAACAAAGTTTTCGTTAAAGTACTGAAGTACATGAAGACTGAATAGACCGGGTTCGTGAAGTTAGCCAGACAGCCGGAACAGCCAGAACATTTTTTTTAGTCTAGTCCGGCTAGTCTAGTCTTTTTTGGCCAGCTGAAATAGCCAGAGATCGAGGTGATAATTAATTAAAAACTTAACTATAAACCAATAAACTACTGGCCTTCTGCACATGTTTTTCTGTATTTTCTCTGGCTAGCCTGTCCAGCCGGAACCGGAAATTATGTCAAATTGTGTGATTTTCGTACATCTACATTGCAGAGATAAAATTTCATGGATATTATAGAGTTATTTAACGATACATTTATCATACTTTATTATACAGAGCCTTACAGAACAAAAGTTTCGTCTTCGTCGACAGAGGAAAGATCGAGCTGCGTGGATATGGTCCCCTACAAACATATTTTCTGGTGCGAAATGAAGGGGCTACAGACGACGAGTTGATTGGTCGATCTAAGTTCGGCAATCAAGACATAACGTATATCAATGAAGGTAAGGTGGACACGCCATTTGTGAAGGGAAACAAAGTGCATCCTGCGAACGAAAGCCCGTCTTCCGGAGGTAATATTCTAAATAGTTTAATACTGTAAACAAGATTAATATTATCTTACTGATATTTAATAATAATTCAGTATCTGAAACACAAATTAATTACTGAAATTAACTTTGTTGTCCATGATTTTTATGCCCCTGCAATTTTATGTACTAATATATGGTGTAGATCATGCATTATAAATGAATGGGGTATTATAAATAAACATGATAAAGTTCAATTAAGTAAATACATAAGTAGATGATCTATTATGTTATAAATGAGCATTCTAATTTCATTTATCTAGTCATTTAGCCATCTGAATTTCTTAAATGAATTTGTCCGGCTTTTGTCTTGAATACTGTAATAGCACCCTTAGGATATGGCGCCTGCCTTCTTCTGCCTTTGAAATGCAGGCTTCATCACCTCTGATCCCTTTTCAAAATTCTATATCGTTAAGTTCCGCCCATTATTTTCTTGTCTGTGGTAAACGCCGTCTTTTACTTTGGGACAATACGCCGCTTTTCATAGAATGTCACGGACGTGTCACATTACAAATTTCTTAAAAATCGCTGTATAAACACATATGCAGATGATTTTAAATTTAAAATTTTACCATTTCTTGTCTACTTAAGCCGTTGTCTAGGGGCGTAGACGGTAACTTGCACTTTCCAGTACCGTCCATATATAGGCTCAAGCAAACCAAGTGTGCAACATTTTCAATTTTGATGTTTTGGGCGTTCTTTAGGGTTTCCGTGTTTCTCTTTAATATGATACGTTTTTGTCGGACCGCTGACGTCATGTTGAATGTTATATTATTGACAATAGAGAAGAGAAAAAAACGGAACCCCTAAAGAACGCCCAAAACGACGAAATTGAAAATGTTTCAGGCCCAATTTGATTAAGCCTGTTCATGGACAGTACTGGATAGTGCAAGTTACCGTCCGTCCACGCATCCTAGCACCGCTTGAAGCGGAATTCAACATTTAACATATTAATAAAGAAGGAACACATTTATGTAAGTAATGATATTAGAATTAATGTAATGTTAAAGATATCAGTTAACTTCTATTTCAGAAAAAATCAAATGAACTTTCTTTTCTTCTATTATCTAAATGTTTGAATCTGTTTCATTTTCTTTAGTTGGAAGTCGAACTGCCACTGGAGAGAGCGATTTTACACCGTTTCAATATAAGTGAATACAACTTGAGGGTAGCGAAGACATAAAATGATGAAAACTGAATGACAAAATTACAAAAAGTCGATTAAACCTTAAAACCTACATGTTAATATAATTCCTGAAATTTTAGTTTAGAGTCGATTGTTGGCTAATTTAATGTGTATATATTAGACATATTTAACATTATGTCGTCCCATTGGTTTACCCTTACATTAGGCATGTAAATAACATATATTTAAATATTTATATTTCTGTCATATACCTTTTCACTCTATATACAGTTATTTACATCCAATCGCTGCCTTTAAAATGTACCATGTGACTATACAATTGTACATTTCAGTACTAGTATCAAATATATATATTTGACATAACAGGCAGGGATATTTTTGAGTTGTATATGTATAGGTTATTTATTCTGTCTTGTGCAAATGAAACTGACAGACGTTCTTATCAGAATTATCATCATAATCATAATTAGCGTTTCTTCTATATAATATGAATATAAAATAAATACTTTAGATGATTGAAAATCTGTACATTACTGGATATAAGTGGCGTTCTAAAATTTACATTGACTTTTTTATGCCTTCCTTTGGTTTTCGCCTATACTACTGAGTATTCGCTTAATAATATTCCAAAAATATAAATAACTTGTAATTATTTCATGGAGTTATTTGTTTTCATTGTATTATAGCCATAACATCATGATGTCATTCATATGTGAAATCAATGGCTGACATCACTTTGAAAAAAATTGGGCGTCGATATTCGACGTTTTTGGCTAGATATATAGCATATCGTGATAAATGAAGGCTTAGTAATTTTTCATTCTTTATAATCATGTACTTATATTAAAGGCATGGCAAAAATGCTATATAAATCTCGTCACAGAACAGAACAGAACAGAAATTTTATTCAAGATTTGTACATGGTACATCATCTTACAATTTGTACAATTTAAATATACTATACAATAGTCACATGCCATTTAATGTACATAAATATAGCTATAGATCTTAACATACATACTTTTAACAATGAAAATATAGATAAAGAATACAACATGAAATATTCTGTTTACTTCCTACATAGAGGATTAACCATTCATTATTACATATTATAAGACATGGATGTTCTATTAGCCATAGCATCTCTGATATAGTAAGCCAAGTTACAAAATATTTTCTTATTATTACAATTTAACAATTCAATAAATTTGAACATACTTGGTCTAACATAGTAGTATCTCTTAATATATTTTTTACGAAATTCAAGCAAACAGGTACATACTAATATAAAATGGTATTCATCTTCAATATCACGAAGATTACAATATATACAATATCGTTCATTTCTAGGAATTCTGTTTACACCATAACGTCCGGTTTGTATCAGTAATGCATGTGAAGACATACGTATTCTACTTATATAAATTCTAAGATTTCCTGGTATAAGATCTAAATAATGTTCATAACCAAACCCACTCTTCAAATCATTATACAAATTCAAAACTGGGCTACCAGTAATGTCAGAATGCCAGTTTTGTAAAAAGTTATCTATTACACGTTGCTTAAATTCGCAGATAAAAGATTTATGACAAACACAACCTTGATTCTCCCATACATCCATAAAACCATAAGTGTACAACATATCTTTGACATTAGATAACCAATTACGTTTACCACTTGTACAATCATTATAAGACATTTGATATATTTCTTTCAAAATATATTTCTTCACAGGTTGGCTTAAGGCCTTTTAAACTGTTAAATATTATCAGTCTATTATCCATGATTGAGTACAATACTGAATTGAACAGCTGTCAACCTATATCTGATTAGGTGTAAAATGAATGTCTGCATCAAATGTACTATATAAAGCAATATCTCATGAAATATTTCTGTAAAATCTTTAAACGGTAACATAGTGTTGTTTCCTTTGTATATTCTCGAAAGAAAAACATAAAATAGCTGTGTTGTTTAACACACATGAATAGTGTACGTAAACAGCATTAAATGTTCAGGAACATAATATTATGCTGTAAATCTAAGTGGAACTTTTACTGTTAAGCAATGAGTGCGTGCATGCACCTTTGGCTCGTATGGAAAACTGAAATTTCTTTCATGGATGTATTTTAGAATTATTCTTTGCGAAAAAATAAAGCAAAATTTTTTTAACAAGAGACAAGATATATATAGCTTTATACGCCGTATACATGTATTTTGAGCTGTTGATAAGCTATTATAATATAGAATGTATTCATTATATGTTATCATATCTGTATGCCAAGTTTACAAGGAACTTGTGACAGTGAATAATATAATTTGCAGAACCTCTATTTCATAATTTAAAATATATCTCATCGGTGAAATACCGTATTAAAGCATGTACGTTAGTAGAATATTAGATATAAATCTTTAAACATATTATTTGTACAAGTAGCAATAAAACAACATACGTTGATTGCATAACATGTATTAAAGAATGTGCATTAGTAGAATATTAGATATAAAGCTTTAAACCGGTTATTTTTACAACTAACACATTTGTAGTATTAACCGATCGTTGCATTTTGTTAAAACAATAATTCTGTGATACATTTGCAAGGGTCCTGTATACCAATTCTATAATGTTAAAAATTGTTAAGTGACTTTATAAAGATTTATTTTAACAAAGTATAACCATGTTCATCAGAACATTCATGTAACCATTTTCTCCATGTACATAAACTATTATATGTTATTGTTTGTTTATTTCTTTTTCTTGAAGACTAAGTAAAAAGTTGGGATATTTATACACTGGATACAATTTAAAAAGGAGAATCAAACCTGTGATAAAGACCAACCCCGAATAAAGATCACCCTATGAAAGTTTCGCTCTAAACCTTTAAAAATTATGTAAACAGCAGTCACGTGACGCAGTGGCAGAATTCCTATGATCTTATAAAGCATTTATATGAATCCATGTGCCTCTATGCTCGCACACGCGATTCCCAGTGTCCGTTTACAAGATGCCAATTACTGTGATAGCTGACTCTCTTTCCTGGATTATATCATATTATATCATAATGCTTTGGTCATCAGTGTGAACCCACGGTACTCATTGTCTAAACTTATGCTCCTCATTGTGTACAAATGATCGTCATTGCCCAATCATTCGTTCTTCATTATGAGCACAAGATCCACATTGTGTACCCACGGTCCTCATTGCACATGAGTACATGTTCCTCATTATTTGAGTTTTCTTTCATTTTTTTTTATAAAACAATAAAAGTTCTTAAATAATTAATGATCTCAGTCTCATAAACGACGTCAAAAAATCTTATTAATTAATTTGATCTTAATTAGATTGTCCATGAAATTGAAATTAATATTAATCACAATTAGTTACGTTAAGATAAGGCTATCAAATACGGTTAACTAACTATGTAAGATGTGTTTTAAGCATCATAGACGGTGAATAAACTGTTTAATATGTACTTTTGGTATTTTAAGATCATGAAATAAGAGTATAATGTGTATTTGATGGTGTATTAATACGTCTGGATGTCTTTAATTCTTCTAATTATAAAAATACATTATCATTTAGAAGAATTTGTTTCTGTCTGATGTTAAGCTGACTTTCCCAAGTATCATTAACCTTTAACCTATTCAATTCAGGTTTTGAACTTGCTTTGCTTCCGAATATTCTATTCAAAGTTTAAGGTAATTCAAAATAATAGAGTAAGCACTACCAGCAGTAAAGAGCTTGGCCCGACCCGACGGATTACAGTATCACCTTGCTCCATAATTGTTTCAAAGGTTTATCACCTTTGGTCCAAGAAAGGTAGGTTTTGAAGCATACGCTATTCATTTGACTGCTTTAGTACCACGGTCATTATATATTTTGAATTATCGAGTATACATCATAATTTTATTATACATGTATTATAATGGAAAAAAAAGTTAACCTTTGCAAGTCAAAGACATTTGAAATAATTAATAATGAACTTTAAGTCCCGGTATTTCTTGCATCACACATCTGCCATTTCTAAATAAACATTTAAACAATGAGAAACAGTAGAACATCATTAACGTGGGTTATGGTAATGCATTTCATGCGACAATGTAAAAGCTGCAATTTGTTCATTTTTTGAAATGTTTTCATGATTTCATCAAAATGTCAAAACATTTCAGAGACAGCGATCCATTTATCACTTTTAGCCTCGCCCTTACGAGGACGAAGTACTTGGCATCATCATACCCTAATGATTTAAAAATATTTCTTTCTTCAATTCAACAATAGAGATTTCATGAATTGGATGAAGCTAACTTCATTTACTCTTTGTTTGATAAATTTTTATTAGATGGTCAAACATTCACACAGCAACGTTTATTTTGACATTTTGTGACAAGTTCAGGTAGAATTTGAAGCAATATAATTTCATAACTTTACCTGAACCAATATTTGTGGCAACGTTTGCCATACCATTGTTTGAAAACACATGTAACAGAAGATGTTGATGAGATTATCAGACACGACTTTCTAAATATGACATGAGTACATCATTCATCTAATCCATTTATAACAACCGAGGTAAATACATTGCCTGTCATAAATGATAAAAACATCACCGTAAACATAATCATATATAACTGTTTCCGATCACGTCTTTTCCAACCAAACCTTCCTATACGTGTTTACAAAATGTGTCCCTTTCTTGTTTAAAGTCTTCAGGAAAATGCCAATTGTTAGGAAAGTAAATTCAACCAAATTTTTTTTACATGTTTTTAACATGTTTTATTCGAACGAGACTTTAAAAACTTAGGTCCCGTTAAAAAGTTCCTAACTAACACAATGCTTGGTTAAAAGTCAATTGGTTTCTTTTGGAAAAGTTTTTTTTTGTAACTATTGCCCTAGACTCCAAATCGGTTTACAGTTGACGCTAGCAATATAGGATAACAGATACTATCAGACTAAAACTACAATCTTAAAGTGTTAAATAAGATTCTGATGCCAGAAGTTCGTTTTACGTAAAAACTAACGTAACAGTAGATGCAAATTTAAATCTTAGACGGATTACACTGATTGTATTAATTTTCTGATGTTACAGTTCTAATTTTACCAATAAATACACAATGTTTCACATGCAACCAATCACTATGCAACTTGATAATTTCAATCCGGTAGCTTTACTGCAATTATGCCTAATTATTATCCTGACATATTGCAATTTATTATTTCATAACGCATATAAGCCCGCTTTAAATGTATACGTTATTGTGAATAAGGAAATTAAAGTAAAGTTCACATTATAGTACATTTTATCCAAATTGAAATGGATTCTTTAATATGATATTGCATATACTTCAATATACTGTCCATTATCGAATTATTATATCGTTATAAACTGTTATATACATATGATATACAATTCTTTATTACAGCTGCTAGCATTGTATAATAATTTGATAATTTCTTGTCTGGAAATGATCTGTAAAATTACATTTAGTTTAACTTCAACGTATGTTTCTTGGTCTACAACGTTTCAATGTTATTAAAGAGGTTTATAATGCCTTTGCATCTTTTTAAATTACCTTAAAGTGCATTGTTTGTACTTTATATCACTTTGCTCACTCATCTTTCTTCTTAAAAACACCATAGTTCAATCACGTGTACAACACCGCTATAATTTAGCATTCCTCTTGATTCTTTTGATATTTTTAAAGTAGTAATAGTAGAAATTTATTCTTTTATTCCATTGGGCAATATGCCTATGACGGCATTACAAGCATGGTATTATAAATGACTAGCTTTAATAATTGCCCGCTCTATGAACCATTTGAGTGATTTCAAACTAATAATTGTTAGCATAATTATAAACTGGACAGCAGAATGTCAACTACATTCAAACGGTATGTAGAACAATTTTACACTTATTTGTAAAAAAAAACGATTACCAATTTCAAGCTTTTTCACAAAACATTCAATAAAATACCAATTGCTCGATATGTATTCCGTAATCTCCTGCGTGTAAAAATAATAAAAAAAGTTTAAAAGAAAAATAAATGAAATAAAAATGAAAAAAAAGAAAAATAAAATAACATAAAAAATAAAATAAAAACATAAATAAAATAAGAAAAGTATAGAAAAAATAAAAATATAAATAAAAAAAACTTCAGAAAGAATTTTGTTTTTAGTACGATTTATATCTTATGTAAGGCTATGAAAGGACAAAACAATTCCTGTAAATCTCACCTTATCTCACCTAGTATAGTGTCAACTTCCCGATAAAACAGAACTGCATATTTTATGTTACGTGCAATTTGAATTGGCATCCATGGTGTCATTTGAAATTGAGGTTTCCTGGTAATGATCACTTTGTCTGACTTTATTAGTGAACATTGTGTGGTTGTTTTAGTAACTAAATTGGAACTTCACGGTATAATTTCATAGAATATAGAGGAAAAATGTTCAATTTATTACAAAACATTTCAAGTTTCAAACGTTATTTTTTTTCTTGAAATTCTTTGATTGTATTTTTGAATAGAACAGAGGATAAAAGATTAGACTTTTTGCACGTTTTTTATTATACTGAAAAAGCCAATGCTACTGGAACATTAAGACAATGTACTCAAGTTACCTGTTCATTGAATCGGAAAGAAATCCATCAAATAGAATCCCGCAATGTAAATTATGCAAAGACCTTTTCGGGATTTTAAAAATATAAGCTACACATGGAGAATTAAGTACAACTGACAGATCATTTTCAAACCCTTTACGAGTTAAAAGAAGTTTGCTTGAAAAATGCATGCAAAATCATAGAGCTAAAGAATGCGGTTTAAAAATGATGAAAACACTTTCACGTCTTTGGATACACATTATGTATGTGTTATTTGGGATAAAATTGTGTATTTCTACAACATTGTTTGTTATCACATGTTATTCAATATAAATCTAAAATAATTTTCCTAAACTATCGAAAGAATGGATGTGACATTGTTTCTAATGGTGTATATTGTTAAATGAACCTATGTTGCAATTCTTTATTGTTAATGCAAGAGATAGGGGATCCAATCCTTGGGTAAATTCAATTAACATAGTTCCCTTAATTAAAATATCCTCCAATTCAAGGGCTTAATACATGTATACTTTTGATCTATGAGACAAATATTTTTGGCAAGACTCGGTTGATAAATCTAGTCAAATAATCCTAGTATTCATAGTAGTTTATTGTCATTATAATTACAAAAAAGATGTAAATTTATATAAACCAAATTAGGTTCATTCATTAAATTGAGCTAATAGCCCCCAAGCACACAAGTTGTCGATATTCAATGTTACACATTAGATGTCCCTATAAACTATATTAATTATTTATATTGTTTACTTTTATGCTCTTTTAATTGAATTTCTAAGTAAGCATTAATTAGCTAAAAGCTTAAAAAAGAGTTTAATAACCATTTTGCATGCTTTTTTATTTAATGCTTTCCTGCTATCACGGTATTTTGTTTGATTTATTAGTATTTAAAAAAAAACAACAAAAAAAAACAAACAAAAACAATGATCAGTGAAAGTTAATATATCATACCAAATTGTCGCTTAAGTTGCAATCATATAAATCAAAATAAATAAATAAATAAATAAATAAATTCAAATATCATCATTCAAACATAGACTGTATTTATCATGTCATAATGTGTAATTAATTGTAAATTGGAAGTATTCTT